TATAAGAACCCCAACCTCTCTCACTGGTTGTTACAAGGAGTTAAAGAGGTTTATTTCTTGGGAGGTTGAGGCAGGAGGATGGTTTGAGGCTGCAGTGAACTATGATCCTGCCACTGCACTCCAGCCTGGGTGACAGAGAGCCCTGTATCTAAATAAATAAAAAATAAAGAGATTGAGACCTTGCGCAGTGCCTACTGCACCCTAACAGTCTCCCACTTCTTCCCTCTATTCTCATCTTGTCTTCTGCCCTCCCCTCCACCCCCGCACAATAGGACAAGTGAGGAAAAGAGAGGGAGACTAAGTATTTTTGAATTGTATTGGTCTCACTGATTGAAAAAAGCTCGCTTCTTCAGGAGTGACTGCCGATGAGGTAACATCTGGGACCGGGATTTTCAGACTTGGTATTGGCCCATGAAGAGGGATTACTCCTACAACTTGGTGGCCGGAGGAACTTCCCATGATATCCCGCCTCTCCTAACCTCAGCGTAAAAATAACACTTTCAGAGGACTGCCCTGAGGTAGGGGTGGACAGCCACAGCTCTTGGTTCATTTCTGAAGTGGACAGAAGTGCCAAGGCTAATTTTAGGTGGCCCTGTCCTGTCAGTGGGGCCTGTCTACTGGCCTGTGTTTGGGAAGCTAAGGGTGGGGTGGAATCTGCTCATTGTGTTCAGATCTGTGTAACTGACAGCACCAGCCATGTGGGTGGGCTGGGCTCAGGCGGCAGTGCGTCCTGCAACCTGGCCACCACTGTTATCTGGGCTCGCTCAGAACATGGCTCCTCGGTAGAAATTCCACACAGGCATTTTGGCAGTAACAGTCCTCTGGTGCGGACATTATTTTCCACTGGTGACAGTTGGGTAGGGGGCTGGGTGAGAGGACTCGGCAGGCTGATCCACCGTCAATCCCATAGGGTCCCCTCCCAAGGACTCAGAGGAAGGACGTCCCCCAGCAGGTGGACAAGGTGGGAGGGAGCCAAGGGAGCTCATGGCTGGTGGGGGTGGGGGTGTAGAGGAAAGTGGGGCCCTGGCCTCAGACTGCAGAGACTTAGTATTATCAGGGATGGAGGTGGTCAAGGTAGGGTAAAGGGTATAGTGTGGTAGATTCTGCACCTGGGCTTCCAGAACTATCCAGGAACAGGGAGGGCTGTGCAGATCGTCAAAGGTTGGCTCCCTTGGGGTAATCCACTCCCACCCTCTGCATAAATAAATAATACATAGAGCAAAGAGGCCAAATACATCTGGAAAATGCCCATTACCATCTAGACTCTCACTGTAGGCCAAATTGGTGATACCATTTCTGCTGAGCTCACATCTAAGGCACTTTTTAACACTGTTAGCAGTGGTCCTCCAAGTGTAGCCCCAGACCAGCATCAGCATCACCTGAGGACTTGTTAGCAATGCACATGTGAATACTCCACCCCACACCTACTAATAAGAAGCTCTGGCAGTGGGACCCAGCCTTCTGGGGTTTAACAAGGCTTCCAGGTGATTTTAGTTTAAGAACCGCAGCGCTGGCCTGCTAAAGGCTCTGAGAAGTTCTGCTGTAAAGAAACCCACGTAGTTTCATGTTCACTCTAATGCCTCCTGAGGCAGCTACATGATCCTTTTATAGCAAAATATCTGGTAGCTCTTGTAGGAATCAGCTCTGGGAAATGGGAAAGAACATAGACTTGATTTTAGGCAGATGTTTGTTTGAATCCCAGTTCTGAGGCCCAGCAGCCTGGGAAGGCACAGCCATCTTGGGGCAGTTGTAAGCTTTAAACCAGATACTTGCTTAGTCCTGTCCTTGGTTCAGGCAATGCCCACGGACTTGCCAATACTAACAAAATCGCAAAGAACACAATTAAGATGATAAACAGGCAGGTGTTACCGATACAGTTCCTGTATGTTCACATGTCTCTCTTTTTGCCCTTCATTTTTCTCCCATAAATCCCTTTTAGGTTTTGGGTGTCAGGCTGAGTCCTACAATTTCTTTCCCACACACCTTTATTTTCAAGTTGAATGCCTGGACCACTTCCTGCAAAAATCATTGCCTGTCACCAGGGGAGCAAAACTCAGGCTTCTTGCCTGATGCTTGGCTCTGGTAATTGTTCTTTGCTGTCCTTTTATGAGAAAGGAGAGGGCGCAAGCACACAGGGCGGCCAGCACACACATCCACTTGATGTGAATGCTGGTGAGGCAAGGCAGACGGGTCAGGGAGTGCAGTGCACACCCACCCCTAATGGCGGGGTTGATGGGAACACACTGTCTGTGTCCTGTCAGCCTATCTAGCTACCCTTATCAGGATTTACTCCCCTGCTTCAAGGAGATAAAAAGGGAGTTAAGTAAGGGCACACAGTCTTCTTCCTGCCCGGAACAAGTAACAAGCAGGATTTTACAACTTAGCATCTTATCACAGAACGGGTATTGGATCCAGGCTCTGCCCCGTAGAAACCATGGGATCTTGGAAAAGTTACCTATTATCCTTGAATCTCAACTGTAAAATGGGTTTGGTAAAATTCACCTTACCAGACAACTGTGAGAATTAAAGAAAGATCCTGACAGTGTGCGCATGGTGTTTGGCACAGAGCTGGGGCTTAATAAATGTGGAATTGGAATCATGCCGTCCTCCTGGGAAAATTGGCAATCCAAATAGATCCTATTTTTTAAGGCTTAAATTCAAACGTCCATTCATGGATCACATATTTATTGAGCAACTGCTATGTATATCAATGACGGCCACTGCAAATAAAGAGATGAACAAGACCTCGACATCTACAGAGGGTGACAGACATTAATTCACTAATTACAGAATTATTAAATTAAAATTATGGTTGGGGCAGGGACGTAGAAGTCTGTCTTCCACAGCTAGCCAAGCCCAATCAATAAAGACTTCCTTTGGAATCCCTACTTATTTTCTAACTTTGGCGTTTGCCATGTGCTATCTAGTATTGCTATTTAAATGCTTCCCAAGTGTCACAATTATTTCCTAAAGCTGACTATAGGCAAGGGCCCAGGTACTCAGGCTGCCTTTGCTTTTGTTCCATGCTGAACAAATATGTGAGGCTCAGTCATGAATAAAATATGATCCACATCTCTCTTGGGAATGGCAATTTGGAAATGCTACAAAGACCTAGAGGTCTCCTTCCAACTTGGAATGATCTAGTGTTTAGAGTTTATGAACAAACAGCTATTTGAAGGTGGATAGAAGGCAGGATCAGGGTGGGGCGGGGAAGACCAGTTTATAGGCCATGTAAGCAGATCAAATTAAAAAATATATATATCCCTAGGACACGTATTCTTCCTGAGAAATGGGACTTTTATGCATCATTGCCAAATCTGTAGCAGAAAAAATAAATCTTGTTCTTTGGTCTTAGAGTTCTCAGATAAAACAGTTCCTTGGATAGCAATCCCAGATGGTGCTGGCAAGATGGGGCTTGGAGATGGAAGATGCAAGTTTTGGATGATTAGCTTGAGTGACTCCCAAGGGAGAAAGAGTCTGGCCCTCTCTGGATGTGGCAGCAGTTTCATTTGGGCTGGCATTTCCCTGGGTTGCCTGCCAGCCTGTTCAGCAAAGTAGATAATGTGCTTGGGGATCTCATGTGCTGGGACTTCTATCTCCAAAAGTTAATTACCATAGAAACAAATGAGGACACTTGGTTGATGGGGCAGGGGGAGCAAAAGGTAAAACGGGGGCTGAGGATCAGAAATGCAGTGCGCACCAGACCCACGTGGTCTAGTCTCAAGCATTCCTTTTGCCTTCTGTGGGGCAGTTTAAGACAAACCAAGCCATGAGGCTTTCATCTCCCCAATGCTGGCTTCTTCTCCTTTCTGTTTTCTCAAAATGGCCTCCGGCGGCTCACTCCTCACTGCCACTTCCTATGGGTTGAACCTTCCCTCCAAAAACCCAGGTTGAAACATAATCCTCTGTGTGACAGTGTTGAGAGGTGGGGCATTTAAGAGGTGATTGGGTGGTGAGGGCGCGGGCCCTCAGGAATGAATTAATCCACTCATGGCTTAATGGATTAATGGGTTATTACGAGAGTGGGACTGGCTTCTAACAAGAGGAAGAGAGACCTGAGTTGGGACACTCAGCCCCTTGCCATGTGATGCTCTGAGCCACCTTGGGGCTCTGCAGAGAGTACCCACCAGGAAGAAGGCCCTCACCAGATGCAGCCCCTCCACCTTGGACTTCTCAGCTCCCAGAGATGTATGAAATATATTCCTTTTCTTTATAAATTACCCAGTTTCAGGTATTCTGCTATAAGCAACAGAAAATGGACTAAGACACTGCTAGAGGAAACTTTTGTAAACACAGCATGGACCATGTGATACCTCTGACTGAAAGCCTGTCTGTGGCCTTTGGAATAAAGTCCTAAGTTCATGGCATTCTGCAGTTTGGGGACAATATATTCTACTTGTTTGATTTCCTGGGGCATAGCAGCTAATACAAGCTAATCAGTATTTGATTGATAAATGGATGGATGGACTGGACTCTCTAGGAGTCCAGCCTCTGCTGCCCTCCCCAGCCTCGTGTCCCCAGCTCCTCAAGTATGCCACACTTTAAATCACGTGGGACTCTTTTAATCCTCTAAATGTACTGTGCTTTCTTGAACTCCTGGCTTTTTGCACATGCTCACCTCTTTAAGGGGGTGCACATCCTCCCCTCAAAGCTTGAAGGTTTGGATGGCCCCTAAACATTCTTCAGAGACCAGCTTGTACCTCACCAACCTTTTGAAGCTTACCCTCATCATCAAGCAGGCTTAGATTTCCTGTCTCTAAACCATGTCAGTTTTGCCTGTGACTTCCACTGGACTATGAACCTTTCAAGGGCAGTGGTATTGTATTGTTTTCCATGGGACAGTGCCTGGCACAGAGTAAATGAGCAACTAATATCTGCTGAATGCATGAATTCATGAATAAATGCACGAATGAGGGAACAAAGCCCTGTGATGGGGCCCTGACTGTCCAGCCCCAGTCTTAAATGGTTTCAGCCTGGTTGGAGACATGGGAGAAACTTACGTATTCCACTTCTTTGGACGGGTCACTGAGGCTACCGTTAGTGGTAGGGGCAATGGTCTCTGCCCCCTCTGGCTTTTCCTGTTGCTTCCCCTCCTCCTTGGGCAAGCCACCTTGCCCTGGGAGGGCCACTTCTCCCACGCCGAGGGCTTCGCTCTTATATTGCTTGACAAATTCTTCCATCAGTTTCAACTCATTCTCCAAAAGTCCACGGCAGCGTGAGGGATCCTGGTCATAGATGGGGAGTTGATGCATGAGCTGGCGGCGGCGGTAATAGGCGCCCTCAGTGCCTGTCACTGGCTGCTTCTCCTTGGGGATGAGCTCCATGTACTGCAGGCCCTAGGGAGGAGGAGGAGGAAGAGACAATGTGAGATTGGTGGGGCTTCTTCAGTCAAAGAAACTATGACAGAATCTACCTAAAACTAAAAATGCATTCTCTTCCAGCATTCTCAGCAACTAAAAGACCCACAGTCTTTATTTTTTTTAACTTAACACAGTTAAATTACTTTTGTAATTTTAAAAAATTACAAAAGCAATACTGTCTGTCCATTGTGACAAATAAAACACAGATGAGAGAAAAAACTTTAGTAAAGGAAAAACCTACGTCTCTTAGGTACCATGTGTATGTAGGAAGTGTTCTATGTCTCAATCTTGGTGCTAGTCATGGAAGTGTATCTGTGTTAAAGCTCGTCAAGCTGTACACATTAGATGCACGCACTTTGCCATAACATACTGTATGATCATGTGCTACATGATGGCATTTCAGTCAATGATGGGCCACATATACCACAGTGGTCCCATAAGATTATTATGCTTTATTTTTACTGTACCTTTCCAGGTTTAGATATGTTTATACACACAAATAGTGACTGACCATTGTGTTACAATTGCCTATAGTATTCAGTACAGTCACATGCTGTACAATTTGTGTCCTAGGAGCAATAGGCTATTCTGTGTAGCCTAGATGCGTAGTAGGCTACACCATCTAGGTTTGTATAAGTGCATTCTTTGATGTTCACACAAAGACAATATCACCTAAGGATGCGTTTCTCAGAACAAAACCCCAGCATTAAGTGGAGTATACTGTCCTTTGTTTTAAAAAGCATTTACAAAACTCACACCTTATTGGCTCATGGTAACAGTTTGCCAACAACTTTGTGTTTATCCTTCCAGACTATTTTCTACGTATATTTATTAAATAAGGGCACTCAGTCTTCTTTCTGCCTAGAACTAATAATACGCAAGGTTGTACTTGATCTACTTAAATGCTATTTTCTGTGAGTATACCATTTAAAATGGGTCCTTGGTCAGTGGATTCTGTTTCTCCTGTGACTGTGCCAGCCCATGTCATGGTGTGGAACAGAGAACAATCTTGGGTTTGAGAAAGAGATACTTGTTTGCATCTGCTAATGCGTGCTCTATCGGTTAAGTGAGTAACTCTCTACTTGCTAATAATAATTATTATTATTTTAACACTTATTCTCCAAGAAATACTGTAGTTACCAATTTTGGGTGGCACTGAAAAGAGAAAGGAGTCTACATTTACTCATGGGCTAGGTATTCCATCAGAATTTGAATAAAGCTCATTTTGCTTTGTTCTCTGACTTGCAATTAATGGTAATAGTTACAACTACTAGTTTGCCTCTATCCCCAAAGAAAAGTTGCTGCTTTTAAACCTCTTCTCTACTATCATTTACGAGATGGTAGCCAATCGATAAAACTCTTACAGTATAATGACAGCAGTAATGCCAGCTGGCTACCCTCATGAAACCTGTGTTCCACTCAGCATTCTCTTCTCTCTGGCTCCACAATTGATGGGATTGATTTCTACCTTCACTCATGGAATTACTCCCCCCAGAAGAAAAAGCCCTCTCTCGTCTTTACTATTCTTACAAGTAGCATTGTATGCTTTGGTCTTTCCCTAGTCCTTAACCATCCCTAGTGTATCTGAGCTGACCCTCTAGTGGGACTGTCCACTCCCTGAGGGCAGGCCATATTGGTTCTAATGTAGTAGCTAGAGCAAAAGCTGTGGAATCAGCTTGTCCTGAACCGAAATCCTGGTTGTAGGCATGCCGGTGGTGTGACTGCAGCCATGTCATGCCTTCTCTCTGCACAGATTCTTCAGCTATAAAAATGAGGATGGTAACCCTAGAGTGGCTGTAGGATTACTTAACAGAACCACAGCACATACCAAGCTGGCCCAGCCATGGCCCATGGGTCACATGTGGCCCAGGATAGCTTTGAATGTGGCTCAACAGAAATTTGTAAACTTTCTTAAAACATTATGATATTTTTCTGTGATTTTTTTCTTAAAGCTCATCAGCTGTGGTTAGTGATAGTGTATTTTATGCGGGCCCAAAACAATTATTCTTCTTCCAGAGAAGCTAAAAGATTGGACACCCAGATCTACATGCTTCTGACTTTCTCTTCTCTTTGCTTTTCTATCTGTGGCTTTTCTCTTTTCAAATCTCTGACTACAGTTAGACTCACCAGCTACATGTGTCAAAGCAGTGTCTCTCAATGAACACAGTGTACAAAAACCATGTGAAAAATTACTAACATGCAGATTCCTAGGAACCAAGCCCCACTCAAGATCTCCATGTAGTAGGTAAGGTATGGGGTATAGGCATCTGCATTTTTAACAAGAATCCTGGTAACTCTAATGCAAGAAGTTGGCTCCTGGATCTTACTTGAACTACGGTTTCAATAAAATACTGGCAAACAAACAAATGAGTGAAATAAACAGCTGGATTCTCAGGCACTGGACAGAGATCTGAGGAAAGGCTGGTGGACAATTCCTAGCTGCTTTAGGCTTTTGCAAGTCTTAAGGATTCTCAAGGAAGAAATGTGAATTTTGCTAATACCTGAGAGAGACCTAAATGAGCTCTTACTCTGCTCCACGTTATAGTCAGAGATTCACATTCTTGATCAGAATGGTGTAATTTAAGTAGATGCTCATTTTAGATTTGCTGGCTTTGCAACATGAATTTTGTTTTCCTCAAAACTGAATCTTTTTACTTCATTTCCCTCCTGGGTAACATTCCTAATTTAAAAAAAAAAAAGTCAACCTTGTTTAAAGTTGCTTTTCCTTAGAAAAGTATAATTAAATAATGATGAACCTAAGGTATTTCATGGTTTAGTAATTAAAAAATATGCAAAGGCAACTTCTAATAGAATCGACAAGGTCTCAGGTCGGTAACATTTCCACATCAATATGACTGGTAACTATCTGAATATTAATGTGTTCACAGGTAACTGTCCAATTTGGCTTCATTTATATATTTGTTTTTATTGAACCGAAATCTTGAAATCTTACACTTGGGTGAGTCTCAGGGATGAGGAGATTAGGGGAAGGCAAAAGTCAGGGCCACAGCCTGAGAAACTGTGAGAGGCAAATTGTTTATCCTGGAGACAACCATTTTCCATTTCTGTGCCTGACCCTGACTCGGAACCTTAGCACCAGGTCTCCTGATTCCCATCACCCAGGTGGTCGCTGCTAGGTTTATCCTCTTAGAACCCATCTGCCCCATAGCTTATCACTTGGGGCTGGACTCTTTTGGGAATTGTGGGAGTGAACATGGAAATTCATACTGAAATTCAAATTGTACAGTCCCACTGTTTGATTTTAGGAAGCAGGGGTGAAGAAGCTGGGATTGTTGTGGGGGCAGTGGGGGGGAGTACAAGACCAGAACTTGGTACCTGCTGGGGTAAATAAATTCTGGGAAACAGCATAGAAAAGGCAGAGGCAGGTGACCTGAGCTCCTGTGAGACTCAAATTGTGGGGTGGCTGCAAATGCCCCATTGGTGGCTCTGCCCTCGATCCCAGAGGACACCTGTCTGAGACACCTTTTGGCACTGTAGGCTCAGAGCATGCTGGCTAATCCCAGGTATGTCTGCATACTCCTGGATGCTTTTCAAGGTGCTTCCTCAGACACAAGAGACACCCTGGTTGGTGGAGTGTCAGGAAATCTGGGTTTTAGGTCCAGTCCTCCTGCTGCTTTGGAGGATTGCTTGAGGCCAGTCTGGGAAACAGAGAGATCTTATCTCTACAAAAATTAAAAAATCAGCCTGGTGTGGCAACACATGCCTTTAGACCTGGCTACTTTAGTACTTTAGAGGTGGGAGGATTGCTTGAGCCCAGGAGCTCAAGGTTAGAGTGAGCTACAATCACACCACTGCAGTCTGGCCTGGGCAACATAGTAAGACCCGGTCTCAAAATCAATCAAACCCTGTCTCAAAATCAATCAATCAATTAGAAGTTTTACAGTTTCTCCTGGGTGGCTCTGACACAGGACATCCCAGGGTTGGGGCTTCTCTGGGATGTAGCCATCAGCGACAGTGGAAAGTGGTAGCCTGACAGCCAATAGGCTGGGCAGGCACAGGGTCCTGTGGAGATGCATTAGGGTGTAGCCTTGGGTGGCAACTTTGTTCACACTATCCCCTTCCTATTTTTTGCCCAGGTCTTCCAGAATCTAAAGAAGGATTTTGGAGAAGTGGAAACAAGGGTGTGGCTCACTCTGCTAGAGAGGGTATCAAGCCTGGCCAGCATCTTATTAACACCAAGTGCTGAAGCAGCCCCGTCCAGGCTGATTCAGCTCATGGGAGAGTAATTGCCCCTCCTGGGAAGACTGCTGACTTTCCCAGGTTCATCATTGTCAAGGATGATAGGAACAGCCAACAATTAGGGAGGGCTTTCTATGCTCCAGGCACTCCTCCAGGTGCTACACACTTCGACCCATTAATTCTCACAACAACTCTATGAGGAAGATTCTAATGTTACCTCTTGGAAAACAGAGGCACAGAGAAGTTAAGTAACCTCCCCAAGGTCACACAGTTAGTGTGTGATAGAGACAGCTTTGAATCCAGCAGCATGAGTCTCAAGCCCTTCTCTGCTGCCTCTCTAGCAGATGGATGTTTTCAAAGAGGAAAAATGTTCCCCAGTCACTGGAGGCATTTCCTTTTATCATCATTTTAGAGTTAGTGGGGTATATAAGCATCAAGTGGTACCGGGATCCCCCATTCCCTGGATGTGTCTGTTTCTCTGGCTTTCTAGGGCCTATACCCCTTCCTTCTAAGCTTTACAGTAAATGCTGTGCTAGGGATCCTGGGGCAGCGGGTCTCAATAGCCAGCTACTTGCTGATCCCCGTGTTCATAGTGTCCTTTCATAGCTCTGCACTGGCTTTGGGTGTCTGTGAATGTAGGGCTAATGGGCTTCCTGGCTGGAGCCTTGGAGAAAGGGAGTTTCCCTTCCCAGAGACCCAGTGTTCCTTTTGCAGCTCAAAGCTCCAGCTGGGGCTGGGTGTGGTGACTCACACCTGCAATCCAAGCACTTTGGGAGGCCAAGGCAGGGAGATTGCTTGTGGTCAAGAGTTTGATACCAGCCTGGTCTACATGGTAAAACACTGTCTCTACTAAACACACACACACACACACACACACACACACACACACTAGCTGAGTGTGGTATGTGTCTGTAGTCCCAGCTACCTGGGAAGCTGAGGCATGAGAATCACTTGAACCCAGGAGGCGAAGGTTGCAGTGAGCCCAGATCCTGCCACACTGCACTGCAGCCTGGGTGACAGAGCGAGACTCTGTCTCAAGAAAAAAGAAAAACAGAAAGCTTCAGCTGGGTGTCGGCTCTCTGCCTTTGCATTGTCAAGGCCACTGCATCCAGCTGCCACTGCTGTGTACTTTGTGATGCCTGGCTGGTCTGAGACTCCCACCACTGCTCACTATTCACAAATGTTGCCAATCAAGCCCTCACAATCCCCCTTCACATAGCCCTCCAGGCCACCACTATTGACTGGCATGGACTTGGGAAGGGGATAACAGGGATAGAGGCTTGGGTGGGAGTCAACCACCCGTCACTGCTCTGACTCTGAAAGAGAATCTCCCAGGTATCTCTCTGATACCTGACTACGTTATGTTACCTGCGTCGGATACCTGACTATGTCACGGGAGCTAAGTCATGAAAATGCCTTTGTAAGTAACTTTTAGCAAGAGGCATTTTCTCAGACCAGTTGGAAAGGTTGGTTTAGGTTTTATATTTTTCCTGAGGACCTTTCTGAGTTATTTGGTGCCCTGCAACCTCGTTGGAACATCTTGGATGTAGAGGTTCCAATAATCTGTCTGTATCAGGAAAGAAACTAAAAATGCAAATTGAAGTGGAAGGGAAGGTGCTCTTACACCCTGGGGGATAGACAGTGAAACACAGATGGGCTCTGGAATCCGGAGACCCTGTTCTTATTTTTCTCTTCCGGATTTTTCTTCTGTCAGCCAAGAACAGTAAATGGGCTTAATCTGACAAGGCAATCCCAGTCCATAGTGGTGACCTAGAGTGCTATGTTTGGAAGGGTCCTGAGGGCCAATGAGGACTCAATGAGAAACAACACTGACTGATCAGCAATGCCTGCCATAGGTGTGGAAGCAGAGGGCAAGGTGTGAGTAAGTGCCACCCCTGCACTGGCTCCTCATGGGCCTCAGTCTTCTCCTCTGTAAAATGGGCCTCTGACATACTCAGCACAAAGGGAGTGGTGAGATGTTCATGAGATACATAGACAAATGCTCATGGATGCTGGCTTCCTTTGTTTTCTCCCTCTTTCCTTCCCCCAAATCCTGGCTAGCTTTCAAAGACACACTCAGGCCGCTTCTGTTCATGATAGCCTTCCCTGAAAATGCTAATCCAGGGTACCTGCTCCTTCCTGCCTCCCCTCCCACCTGCCAGTTTTCTTGGCCTGGCCTGGATTGGTGGGAGAGCCCAGATTTTGGAGTCAGTGTGATCTGAGTTCAACACCTGGCTCTGTCACTTAAATCAGCTGTGGGACATTTAGCTAGCTGCATCACTGCATCATCTCTCTGAGCCTCAGTTTCCTTCTTTGTAGATGAGGGTAATAATAGTATATTTCTAACAATGCTGGAAAATTAGATGAGATTGTGCATGGAAAGCTCCTTGCACAGTAGCTGATACACAGTAAATACTTAACAAATGTCCACAATTAGGCTTATTGTTATCAGCATTTAAAGGCTCAGGCTTTCATTCTCGTTGCAAAGGATGAGAGATCGCAAAAATCAGTCCCATTCCCAAAATATAATCAGTCTTGATCATTTGGTGATTTAAAAAAACTTGGGAAGGTGAGTGGGAAGGGAGAGTTGTCCAATCTCAGTGACTTGCTCTGGGCGCCCAGGTACAGAGCAGACAGAGGGGTTCTTTATAGCCATGTGGTTTTATGAGCCAGCATTAATCACTGCCTGCTGATCCCTTACCCTGATTAGTCCGGGGTCGATATGTTTGGGGTTTTCACCAACTGATCCCTGAAGACCGCAGCCAGCTCTTTCATGAGCTGCTTGCTTTAGTTTCCACTGACATCTGGAGACCTCTTGATAGCTTACCCAGACCTGGAGGTAGAGGGAGATCTGAGTTCTGAACTACTGGGCATGTGGCTCTGCTGTTGTTCTATGGCCACGCTCTGTGGCCTGGGACCAGCCCCTGTCTAGCACTAAAAACTTTTGAAGGACAATTAACCATTCTGTGTTTCCTTACATGTAAAACAATTCCTGCCTTACAGGATGATTGAGTTCATGGATGCTGAAGTCTTTTAAAATGCGGTTTTTCTTTTCAAAAAGTACAGATTAAGAAAAAAATCTTAGCCTCTCTTTACTTTATCTGGAAGGGATGGTCCCCGCTTAAGGCAACAGCTTAGAACCGTGCCTCTCAAACTCTCTATGGTGAAGGATCAAGGTTTGTTTGTTTTTCCACTCATTGCAGAGTGATTTGTGGTCTCTCTCATGTGATTAGAATGTAGCGCATGCTCCATGAGATTTCAGTGTGAGTCTGACCACAGTGGAATTCTGTTCAATGGGATGAGTTCTTATCTCATCACACAGTTGGATGTCAAATTGCTGTAACATTTTCCCAACGTATATTATCAATGTCTGTACTTTTCTCATTGTGTCCAGGTTGCAAAGACTGTGTGGAACAGCTCCAGTCCACAGCCCATACTTGGAGCATCTCTGACTTAAAAGGCTATGACATTGCAGTAACACTTGTCACACCTGTTCTACACCTTGCACTGTGCTGGGTGCTGGATGTTATGGTTGACAGGACAGGCAGGGTGTCTTCCCTCATATCTAGGCACAGATCTAAGATAGTCCACTTGCAATAAAAGTTTTTAAAGAAACCAAAAGAAAGAAAAAATGTGATAGGATGACAGGTGGCATCTATTGTAAATTGAATACCTGGGGAAGGACTATTTGGGAAGAGCCCAACCATGTGAAGAGCAAGAAAAGAACCTTTCAAAAAAGAGGAGCAGCAAGTGCTAAGTCCCCACAGAGGGCAAGAGCTTGGTGTGTTCTAGCATTGGAAGGAGGAAGTCGGAGTGTCATGAGATGTTGAGATGTTGGGAGTGAGAGCACGGTGATGGCAGTCATGGAGGAGCCTGAAGGATAGGGCTATGAAGGGCTCTAAAGGCACTCCTTTTCTTCCAGAAAATATTCAACTAAATTCCATGCTTGCATTTTTAAAATTGTTGAACCTTCTACAAATCTCATTAACTTATAGAAATCATCCAGCCTCTTGTTACTCCACATGTGGGGTTCTGGGGACTAGTAGCATCAGGATCACCTGGGAGTGTGTGAGGTATGCAGAATCTCAGGATGGCCTTAAACCTGCTGGATGCATTTTGATGAGCTCCCCAGATGATTTCTACACATGTTGAGATTATAGGAGCCCCAGTCTGGTGCATTGGATCTTGAAGGTGGCTGCAGAGGGAGTCATATGAAATGCTCATATCTGATGAGTTGGATTCTGTAGTTGGAGCTTCTGACTCAGTGGCCTGGGATGAGACCTGGGCAGGGAGACCTTGTGCAGATCCCAGGGATTCCAGTGAGCGGCGAGGGTGTAACCTTGTGTAAGTCACTTGCTCTCTCTGGACCTGTGTTCTTTCTGCCCTCCTTACGGTCTCTCTGATCATTTACTCAAGATTTATCTGGTTGCTTTTGTTCAAGGTTGTGTAAAACCAGTTTAGTTCTCCCTTCTAAGACCAAGAGGCTTCAGTAGTTAGGCAGAAGAGAGAACTGTTTCTCTGCTCTCCTACAGGTTTGCAAAGGGCATGTACCAGGCAACTTTGAGGGAAAATGAATATCTTGCAGATGGAGACAAGCACTCAGAATTTTGGGTGATAAAACTTGTTCAGAAGTGAGGACCCCAAAGGGAACAGCTCTGTACTTGAGCTGCAAGGCTTCTTAGGGGCCATATGAGCACCTCTACCCATTTCATGGATAAGGAAAATGGCGGCTCAGACCATCATTCAACATCACATGATATAAGGGCAGGGCTAAAACCACAGCCACTCCTGCCATTTTTGTGACCTTGATCTCTTGCCACCCCAGGTTTAAAGTTCAGGAACACTTGACATGGCTAGTATTTATAAGGATAGGAAAACAACTGCTTGGTTAGGGGAAGCTATCTTACCAGTTTTTGGGTGACTCCAGGAGGAGCCCACTCGTAGGTGATGGTGTCAAAAGTGGGATCTTTCCCAGTGGCAATAGGGTTGGTCATGATCATCCGATTCCTCTTGTAAATCCGGATGCCGTCCCCGCCTTTCACCCGGGCAGTGAGGGTGGAATACTTGGAGTCCATCAGCAAGCGGCCAATTTTCCGATCGTCTTCTAGGTCAGAGGTTAGGCAGTGGTCCTCTTGGCTGCATTTGCAAGACTTGCATATTTTCCTGGGGGTGGGTGGATGAGGACGAGTGAGATTAACATTCAGGAAAGAGAGGCAGATTCTCCTGCTAGCAGCTTCTACCCTTTTGAAAGCAAGCTAAAAAATTTAAGTTAGAAAGGTTAGCATCAGACAAATGGTAACCTGAGACATAAAGGGCTTTGGAATTGGGACCTGCATTTGGAAATGATAGTCTTTATATTAATCTTTCACTGAGGAATAGGATATAACTTTTGCTGATAAAAACAGTGGCATGTTTTCCCTCCTGGTGGTTGCCATGGCAAAAGCTGATTCATTCATCGAGATGCTCTAAAGCTGGGCTGGAGTCTGTGTGGCCCATAGCCTAAACCTGGCCCATAATCTGCTCTTATAAATAAAGTTTTATTGGAAAACAGCCATGCCCATTCATAAAGCTGGGCTGGAGTCTGCATGGCCCATAGCCTAAACCTGGCCCACAATCTGCTCTTATAAATAAAGTTTTATTGGAACACAGCCATGCCCATTCATTCACATATTGTCTGTGGTTGATTTAAGGTAACAACAGCAGAGTTAGTAGTTACAACAAAGAGCATCTGGCTCACAAAGCTTAAAATATGTACTTACTTTCTCCCTTTACAAAAAAAATTTGCTAACTCCTGCTCTAAATAATTATTAAAATTGTTTCCCAAGATCACAGCCCTGGAGCTTCAGCAACTTTTAAACTCTTTAGCATGCATACTGATGTTAGAATACAGTGGACATTTTCTTCAAGAAATTTGTGAACAGAACCCAGCGGGGAGAGAGTGAGCTGAGAAAAACCCTCTGGGTGGGGAGATAGAAGTTTTTTGGGAAGGCTTTGTCAGGAGAAGGAAACACATCCTGGGGATGGTCCAAATATACTAAAAAGCCTTATGCTTCTCTTTGACAGTTAAAAAATGTGTGGCTACTTGGTGGCATGCTGTTAAGGTTTAGAAATCCAGAGAGTTCTATGGCGTGAGAGGAGAATCACTCCCCTCTCTTGCTGGCCTGTTTCCATAGGCAGGCTGTGCTGGGTCTCAGATGCTCCTTTGCATGCAACTTGAGAGGTTGTTAAGTAAAATGAGCAATGTCAAGGCCAACTGCAAGGATGAGGGAGGCCCAGTAAGGGAGATCACTGCAGCTGAATGATCAGCAAGGCTGAGGGAACCCTCCATTTCTCATCTATACTCAGGAGGTAAATACATCTAATTGAATATCACAAATGTTGACTGTGGGGCTACATTGATGGTCTGCATTAGTGGCTCTCAACTAAAGACAGAATTAGCAATGTCCCTTGGGACAGAATTAGCAATGTCTGGAGATATTTGCAATTGTCCCAGTGGGGTAGGGGAGTGGTAATGATGTCTGGTGGGTAGGTGGCTAGGGATGCTGCTAAACATTCTACATTCCACAGAACAGCTCCAACAACAAAGAATTATGAGACCCAAAATGTAACTGTCCTAAGAGGTTGGAAATCCCTCATTGAATATGAAGAGAAAAAGGCCTTATTGTGACCTTTAAGGAGCTTACGGTTGGGATGGGGGAGGAAGAGAAAATAGATGGAAACTATATAAAGTAGAATACGTTTGGGGCAGAAAAGTTGCCTAAAATCTGAGGTAGTTCTGCTGGCCTGGAGCAGTTCTCCAGGAGGTTAGTATGTGGCACATAAAAAAGGCTCGGAGCTTAGTGGTTGTGAGTTTGGAAAACAGTGGGCTAAGGGAGGTTAAACGCCCCTCTTTAGTGCAAAGCTGCTCCTTGACTTTGATACACTGATGTGGAGCATGACATTTGGAATGCTACTGAAAAAGCTCACAGTACAAGTTCACATTCAGTGGGCTGCAATTTGAGAAATGTTAAAATCGATAATCTCAAGGATGCATTCTAGTAACCAAAAAGAGAAAATGACCTTAAGGGTGTTGCAAAGCATAAATGAGAAGGTTTTCCTTCTAAAAAAAATGGGTTGCTTTGTTTTGCATTTTATTCACAATCAATAATATTCTCTTGCATATCCCTTTTAAGCGCCAGGCATGAGGAGTCTGGTTCTTTAAGAAGACAGGCAATAGGCAGTATCAGTGGTTGACAGGTGGGGTGTGAGAACAGCAGGACTGGAAGTGGAAGGAGTAGGAAGAGGCAGAAAGTGAAGTAAATCCTGGCATGGAGGGTCACAGAGGAACCTGACTCTTCAGTGTCCCATCTGACCTTCTGACCTCCCCAGTGCTTTCCATAAATAGAACTGGATGAGGAGTCTGCCCATTGCTTTTTCAGTTAATGTGGAATTTCAGGATGCTAATTAGAGAGCCTGATAATGTAAAACATTTCAAAACGAAACAAAAAGAAAGGTTAACAGATCTGAGATGTTCCTTGAAATTGTATCAACACAATTTCCCCTTTTATTCACACTCTTCACGTGGCCAGGCATGTAGCTGGGACTTTATACATGAGGAATACACCCCTCTCACCCCACCCCACTCTTTATTAGGTGCTCAGATTGTAGAGGAAACAGACCCACCCCAAAATATTCTCAGTGGTATGAAAATGGCCATTTCTGCAATCTCTCATTGGTAACCTGGGACTGAATTCTGTCCTGTGATGATTAGTTGAGGGGCTTTCCTCTTAAACCACATTGGTTGGCACTTTGGTCATTTAAATGTCTTTCAAACAATTGAGAGTTTAAAACTTGGAGCATAAAAAGGTATAACGGGATTTCCCTCCTAAGCTTCTTTGATGTTACTGCTTCAATCTGAGTCTAATTTAAGTCCCTATCTGGATTCTTCCAACCGAGGATGACAGCTGATATGCAGGAGCTACCAGCTTCAATTTGTATTTCTCAAAGACAAATTCACTTGATGTTCAAATCATTTGTACGATGACAGGAAATGGAGTGATTAAAACAATATTAAGAGATTTCTGCTTGCAGACACAAGAAACAGGATCCAAAATTGTCCTCTCTTCCTAAACCAGAAAAATGGTTGTTGCATTTTTTGGCAACATTTTCTGGAAAACCAGAGAAAATACACTAAATGACCATTTTCAGATGTTGGACAGCAGGGAGCACAGGGCTGTGATCCTTCAGAGAAGGGGAAACTGACTGAATTGACTTGGTGGGTACATTTACATAACATTTTCCCCTGGCTCAAGAAGTCTAAAAGGAGACATCCTAGCTGTCTTCAAAGAGCTCAAGAGGAATCAATGCTGTCCTGAGATTCTAAGGGAAGATCCAGGACCAGTGGGGTTGAAATGATAAGGAAGTTGACTTTCTTTCAAGGCCAGAAAGAGCTCAAATGGCTAAAATAGAAGTGTGGAGAACTCCTCCTAGGAGTGTTTAAATTACAGAAGGAATTTTTGCAGAGGATAGAAGCCTGAATTGGGTGACCTTGAAGGTGCCTTGCAACCAGAAGACCGTGTGAGCTCCTCTGAGGTTCAGAACTGTCAGGGAATGGAGTCAGGGAATGGGGTTCTGCCCTGAAAGCTCATAGCCCAGTGTACTGCAGAATGGTTAGAAGCATGGGACTGGGATTCATGTAGATCTGAATTCAAATCCTGTCATTTGGTAGTCATTTCCCCATTGCCTGCCTTCAATGGCCTGATCAACACAATGGAGATGGTAATACCTACTGCTTAGGGTTATTTCAACATTTAAGTAAAAAGATTTCACTCAGTTCATGAGTATGTAGTTATTTTTATAATTTCCACCTCACAAAGGAAGTCAGTATTGCTGCAAAAACACCTTCCAAACTTTGTTCCCCACTGAGTGCCCACGGCAACACTACAGCAGTGATGATAAAAACTTTCTTTGTGTCCTCCACAGAGCTTAACCTTCCTCTCCTAGGGCTGCAGGGACAGTCTCACAGTCTATTCTCCGCACAACTCCAGAGGTGCTGCCCACGTAGATGCTGACATGAATGCCGCTCAGGGACTGTGCAATGTGGCAGCCTCACTCTTGTCCTCAGAATCCTCAGTGGAAAAAAAGAAAGAAAACCTCTGGAAATCCAAGTCTAGCTGGATCTTATGGTCCTCTCATGCAGATATGAATACTAGGTCCTGGCTTTTAAGTACTGTGGACAGAATGACCTCTCTTTCGGTCCCAGGGGACACTCTGGACCAAAACACATCAACAGCAATGACAGTGCAGTGGGGAGAGATCAACCCTATACACCAAACCTCAAGGCATACCCCAAATGCACCAGGGACAAGCACCCAGGTCTTCCCAGAGCAATTCTTGCTGAGCTGGGCTTGGTGGATTCTACCTGGAAATGGTTTAGGAAGTGCTAACCTCCTTCTTCAGATCTTTCCTCTCCCTGCCAAGGACTTTTTTCATGTTTCTGAATTGGACCAAGCAGGAGTGCCTTCGCTCTGTAGCCATCCTTCCCTGACAATGCATACAACCAAAGCAGTCCCAGTGGATAAAGCAACCAGGGTTCCCCGAGAGGACAGCCAAGTAACAAAGGCAGACAGGTACCCTCCTGACAAAATCTGTTACCTCCATGAATGTGGCTCGAAGCCTGAACACGTCCCCTTGCATCCCAAACATGCCACACCTCTTGCTGACTGCAGCTGGCCCAGGGACATCTGGAAAAGGAACAGAAAAGAGGGTATTTTCCTTCCAAATATCTTGGACCGGAGATGCTTGACCTCTAAAAGACTTGGCATGCTGGCAAAGGGACTGTGTGGGGTTCAAAGGGCTTGAGATCAATAAGCCATCACAAACTGTTTACCAGGAAGTGAGAAGACCAAACGGGAACATGGAGTGGGGCCAGAGGATAGGCAAGTGTGGATGGGTGGGGCTCTTCCCAGCAAGAATACAATAAGTGTCTTTTCCCAGCCTGCAGTGCTGTCCCTAAACATCAAGACTGGTTGGAAATGCCCTACTGTGAGTGGCCATCTATCTGCTCCATCCTCCATCCTCACCCACTCTCCTGACCCACATGTCACTGGAATGGAATCTCCAGTGAGTGTCTCTTTTCTCTCATTTATTTGTGATTTATTGATACAGTGTGATTAAACCAAAGCTACAGGCACAAACAAATGTGCATGCTGCCAAATGTTTATAGCTCGAAGCATAACTTAAATATTTTCCTGAAACATTGAAAAATCACATGAGCACTTAAAATCTCCTTTGGAAGGAGAACAATGCATGAGACAGGTTTTATTACTTGTTACCAGTCAAAGGTACCAAAAGTGCATTGGCTGCCACTGCCGATGTGTTTAAACCCAAATGGCATCTTCAAACCAGAAGCATCACCCAGGAGCTTGCCAGAAAAATAGACCCTCAGGCCCCACTCTAGCCTGTTTGAATCAGATCTGCACTTTAACAAAATTCACAGGAGATCTGATTACATTAGCATCGGAGAAGTGGGTTAATAATGTGAATCTGCTGAGAAACTTACCCAACTCTCCATTGGGGTTGGGGTGGGGAAAACTTGGTACAGGGATGTACTTCATTATGATTTCATCATAAGCAGGGCTCAATCAACCAGTAATGTAAAGGGATAAGTGTCTTATCCAACAAAAATACCATTTATTTAGCATCTACTATGTACCAGGCATGGGAATATAATATAAGACTCAGGTGTGCCCTCGTGGAACTCACAGTTAGCTAGGAGAATATGGAGAGGAAAACACATTCATCTCCTGCTCCTGTCAGTGGTAAGTCTGAGGTAAGGGAAGCTGCCTGTTATGTAGTAAAAAGAGGCCTGGACTTTGGAGTCTGAGAGACTTGTGTTCCAAATTGAGCTTTTCAACTTATTGGCTGTATGGCCTTGGACATACTGAGCCTCAGTTTCCTTACCTGCCAAGTGGTTACAGAGCTAATATATGTAACATGCAGGACCACATTAGGCACTAGAAATGTCACAGATTTTAGAAGCACAGAGGAAGGTGTTAATAAACTCATATGGGAAATATGAGTTTATTAAAGTAGGTGACTTCTTCTTACAGGAGGTGACTTTGGATTTGGGCTGTGCAAGATAGACAGGCAGAAAAGGGGAAGGAGATGCCTAGCAGAAGGAAGAAAATGTGTGAAGTGAAAAAGGTACGGAAGGCATGATGAGCAGGGTGTGCAATCTGAGCATGTCCTTTGGTGCTACTGGTCTACTCTCTTTGCATTTGAGGGAGAAAACAAGCAGTGAAACTTGTGAAGCCATCCTTATTGCCAGTGGTAGAATTCACAGGTATGGAAAGAGACAGCTGTCCTTCACAGTACCTCTCTTGTGCACCAAATCTTCCCACAATAATGTTTCATTCCATGCCTCTTATTTGGTGACTGCTGTTTACACCATGTCCCCACATACTCTGTCATCTTGTTCAATGCATATTTACAGCTTCAGGGAGTGAGAACCATGTTGCACATATGTGGAGTGTAGAGGGAAGCAAGTTTATATTTAGGCCTATTCAATGAGTTTTGAAATTTTCAATGAAAAGTGAAAATTAAAACACACCTACTGCTAACTCATTCTTCTAAGCTGAAGAGCTTTCATTCACAGGCAGGACTTTGGTCCCTAAAGCCACTGGCATATAACTTTGTTCAATTCCACCTCTCCTTCTTGATACTTTCAGTTCTCCTAATTGAAATTTAGTGATCTTTACACACTTAATATTGGAGTCATTCAAAGTTTATTTTGGGAGGTATACAATTTGTGAATAAGGCTTCATTGTTGGACCATTTCAGATATATCCAGAGGCCTGGAAACTGGAGAGATAGGTGAAGGCATTTCCAAGCGGCAAAGCACCCTGTACACTTTCGTGTTATTGTTCTTCTGAGAGGTTGAATTAACCCTCATTCTACAAGGGAATTAGTTCTGATGCTTGGCTTGGAGAGTGGAGTGGAGCTGCAGTCTGTCTGCAGACTCGGGGTTTGGTTTAGAAATAGTGACGTAGGTAGCCAGCAGAGCAGAGTACTGGCCTGCGAGGCGGGGGTCTGGCCTTTGGGTGCCAACTCTGGCATTTATTAGCTGTGTAACTGGAGACGAGTCATTTCCTTGCCCAGCCGAAAGCATCTCCTCTGAAAAAAAAAGGAACTGGACTGCACTGGGGCTGCCCACATTCTGTTCTGCAGGATCCTCATTTTGTGAGATGTTACAAAGCGGTTCCTGGTTGGGAGTGGCAGAGAGAATCACCTGATCAAATACAAATGGCAGGCACTGGATGTGTAGAGGCTCCCGAACCTTTAACAGGCCAGCCCACGCTAGAAGCAAGAAGAGAAGGGGAGAGCAAGCAGCCCTTTCGGCTTTGGAGGCCCAGGCTTTAGTCCTGAGTTTTATCCCAATTTTTCCCCTTTCCTCCACTGTACTTGGGCAAGTAGGCTTACTGAGTTCCAGGCTCTTGACCTGTGTCACGGGGATAATGGGAATGCAACCTGCCTCACAGGGTTACCAGAAGGTTAAGTGAGATACTGCCTGAAAAGGGCTTGGCACACATTTATTATGCATTGAGCATTTGTTGTTGTTGATGTCATTAATTACATCTTATAAAAAAAGGTTTGAGAGACACCAAATTAGCTGTTCTCAATGCATTTTTTTTCTAGCTTCAAAATACTAGGGAACTTCAGAGAAACTATTTTTCTAATGGCACACCCCTATACTTTCTTATTCTCTACTTTTTTTTACTTATAAAAAGGGTTGCCTCTCTGACTAGGTTTTTCTACAAAACGTAAAAACAAAATATGCTCACTCATGTCCCACACTTAATGATTAACTCATTAAGCAAGGCCATTCCTAGCCCTTTGCCCTCATGGTGCTCTGCTACCCATCACCTAAAGAGAACCCAAGTTGAAAATCTCAACAAGCACAAAGAAAGCCCCATGCAGTCAGGCAAGTGAAGACGCAGGCGATCTGGCCTGGTTGGGCCAGGACACTAAACTAAATGGAGGTTCAGGAAGCAGAGAGTTGGCCCTGGTCTCCATCTGCTAGTGGGATAGTTTCCATGGCAACAGAAGTATGTGGGAGAGAAAAATAAATGGCTTTGCAAGGAAGAAATTGATTCAGGTCATCAGGACACACTTGCAGCTAGTTTTCTGGCTATTTAATGCAATAAATAGTCATTTGTGCACTGCATGTGATTCATCCAGGAGCCAGACAGACCCCCCATCTTCAACACAGAACAATCTCGTTTACTGAGGAGAGGAAAACATCAGTCAGCCACAGTTCCAAGTGAGATACTCTAGTTTATAAACAGTAGGTTTTTCTGATGTGGGCTCTGTGTCTCACAGTAGCTGAGAATAGAAGAGTTTAAAAGAAACCATCACTTAAAAAAAGGTTTCTTGGAATGCAGCATCTAATCTGTCCTTTCTCCTGAGAAAAGGAAGAAATGTTTTGATGATTTTCTTTGGCTTGGTTTAGTAGGATGTGGTTCATCTGATATTATCGAGAAACTGAATGGTGGCAGAGACTTAAAAGGACTTAGACCAGGAGACCCCTGGGGATGCAAGGAGCAGGGGCAATGCTGGGACTCCTCTTTACTTCGAGCATTTGCCTTCAGGTGAACCCCGAGGGAAGTCGTAGAGGGGAAAAAATGTCACCAAGAACAATGTAGGGTTAAGAGGAAGAAAAATGTAAAAGAAAATATACAATAGAGAATTTAGGGATGAACATGGGATTTGGAATTAGAAAATGGGGGCTCTCCTTCCATCTCAGCTTCTTTTTCATGGAGTGACTCAGTTTCCTCCTCTGAAAAATGAATTATCCCTGCCCTTTCTTTTTTGTTTTGTCTCAATAGGGCTGTTGTAAGCATCATGTAACATTAAAAGGTAGTAAGTTGAAATAAGTATTTACTATTGTTAAAAAATTATTAGATGTGGTGGCTCATTCCTGTAATCCCAGCACTCTGGAAGTCTGAGGCAGGGGGATTGCTTGAGGCCAGGAGCTCGAGACCAGCCTGTGAAATATAGTGAGACCTCCATCTCTACAAGAAAACAAATAAACAAAAAACTAGGTGTGGCAGTATGTGCCTATAGTTCCAGCTTACTTGAGAGGCTGAGGCTGGAGGATCGCTTGAGCTCAGCAGTTTAAGGCTGCAGTGAACTATGGAAAGACACTGCACTCCGTCTTGTCCCCCCATCCCTCCAAAAAAGTATTTAAAACTCAGACATAAGGCAAAAAGGTGAGTGGCACATTCTTTCAATGTCATATGGCGGCAATATGACACTAACTTGCCTCATCCCCACAGGATTATCTAGAAAAATTTACTTAGTTCAGATCCGAGACTTGGTGAAGTAACATGTTAACTTGCAGATCTTGGTCCAATAGAGACACAAACAATTTCTGTCCTTTCAAAAAAGATAACCCCAACTGTTAGGGTTTACTGTACTGGAAGACATTAACTGGTTTTGTAAGTAACCCATCAATCTTATCCTATATTAAATTATCTATAAATACCTAACTCCTCAAGCGCTTTTTAAACTGGCCTAAACACCATGCTGATTCCCTCATTGATGAGTAGAGCACAGTCTTTGTTAAGTTTCACTTCATATTTGCATAACAGTTGAAATTCTACCTTTTTGAAAGTTGTATCTTAGTATTATCACATGCCCTAATGATTACCCATAGGTTTCATTCAAGAGGTTGAGCCTCTTC